GTAGGCGGCCATCCGGTTTCATTGCGGTTCCGTCTGTCCTCTGACGTTTCCACGGCAACCTGGATTGCGTATCTCGGCCTCCTGGTCCTCCTTGTCCCCGTTGTTGTGGCCGTCGTCGACGTTCAACCCCTGAATCCCTCCCTCCCCGCACAGCATCGCCTCCCTTCGCTCGAGTATACCGTAATTGTAACTTCATTTGAGGCTAATTTCGACCGAGGGGGTATGATGAAACGCGGTAATAATCGCGTTATCCAGACAAAGGACGGTTATGGATACGCGCCGCCGCCGCGGCTCTCAACGTGTAGCATCATCCCCTAGGTAGGATCCAACCCCGAGGGTGCTCCCTCGTAGGAGGGGTTTATCTGCAAATATGGCTGCTTTAACGAAACTTCACCCATATTGTCCCGTGTATATCCGTCCTACATTCGCTCTCACCTTTAATTTCAAAGGAAATCAAATCGAGACAGATTAAATTAAATCTTCTAAAATAAACGATTAATCTCTTCGAAAATGACAGGTCGTGAAGGGAAAGAGGGAAGATCCTCCTTCTTCTCTTTTCCACGAAGTGAAGACGATTCTCACGGCGACTCGTCGATGGAATGGTAAATAAGGGAGGCCGGTGGGCAGGCAGTTTATTTATGGGGATGTAATTTAATAAGCGAAAGATGAACAGGGAGATACGCGGAGCGGAAAGTGGAAAGTGGCATGAAAGTAGCAGCCATCCCATTGGCTCGTCTCTCTCTCTCTCTCTCTCTCTCTCGCGGGCCATATGGCTCTCTCCTTGAGACCCGCTCGCGCTTTCGGGGGTGCGAAATGATATGGAAGTAATGGAGAGAAGCGTGAAGCCTCCACGGGAGATTGACCCGGCACGATAGCGGAAAAAGGAGAGCGGTTGTGCGCGCCGTTTCGCGATGACAGATTGATACAATTCCATCGAGAGATTCCGGCCGACAGATTTCCTACCAACTGTTGTTGCCTTCGATGCTCATTACGTCGAATTAATGGGGCGGGGATGATGACGAATCGGACACCGTTTTCACTTTTCGACCTGTTGTGCGATTCATCTTTTTTTAAATTATCGTTACTACGATATGATCAGTTTGGCGAAAGAAAATGTTCAGTCATTCAAAGGAGAATGACGACTTTAAAAATCGGGACTCGTGCTCGTTGGCAGTTAACAGGTTAAGAGGAGGCACGGGCGGAGGGAAGAAAACAGGAAGTCATCCTCCCCCGCGCTATCGACTGAGGTCGAAGCCGCAAGAAAGGCACACGCGAGGCCGTGACGTCTCGGGGGCTGCGTCGGAGGAAGAAGGAGGCTGTGGAAGCCGGCGTAAAGGCGAGCCTCGCTCCTTATCGATCTGCCCCTGAGACTTCCTCCGAGAGGAGGAAGGCGTTCTTGGGGAGAAAACTGAACCGAAGGAGGGAGAGGCTATCCACGCGTTCGATCTCTGCGTGTGTGTGCGCGCAAAGATAGAACCGAGAGAGCCGGCTACTCGACCGTGACTCCGCAGCCCGTGCCCGAGCCTATCAATATTTCCTCCCGAAAATTCGCCGCGATACCATCTCGGCTACCTTTAAAAATTTTCTTTTTCTTGTTCATCGCGAATCTTGGCGGTGATTGAACGAAAATTTGATATTTTTTTTTTTTTTCAGTAAAAATAGTCGTTACAAGCTATTACAATTGGCGTGTAAACGCGTTGGAGAATCTTGGACGGAGAGAAAAATCAAAGAGCAAGAAACTCGTGTAAGAGAGAAAGAAAAGAAACGAAATATGGTCGACTCGGCAAAGTGGAAGAGCAAGAGCTCGAACGGTTACCGTCCCAATCTTGGCCGCGTTTTTCGCTTGTTTTCCCTTGCTACCCAGGGGATATATATCTGTTATTTTTCGCGAAAGCCACTCCATTATTTCGCTCTCCTCCGTTTTTTACCGTCTGGCCACCGACGCCCCGCTCTTCCCCCCCGCGGCCGGTCTCATTTCGAAGTGGCCCGGCAAAAGCGGGACAATACGTTATATTAGCCGTATCATTATTTCTCCGTACGAAAGCTGGCTCGAAGCTAGAAAAACCGAGACACGCTCATAATGGGAGAAATCCCGCCGCGTTTCCGCCTCCGTTCGAGAGAAATCTCGGTTGCGTGCAAGCTACTACCACCATCCTTTCCAGAAATTCACGATTTTTCATATTTTCACGTTTCTCTCACCTGTTTCGAATTAAAATTTGAACCCTTCTCCTACTCCTCTCTCTCTCTCTCTCTCTCTCTC